GCTTGTTAACATTAGTTAATGCACCATGAGTTAACATGAACTAACAATGAACAACTGTGTTTTCATTAACTAACGTTAACTAGCATGAACAAATACAGTAGTAAATGTATTGTTCATTGTTTGTTCATGTTAGTAAATGCATTAATTAACATTAACTAACGAACCTTGTTGTAAAGTGTGACCGGGTATACTGTTGTTTCGGCTACGACAAGTGTTATCGAAGGGTTCGCTATGCCTGGTTTCGCTGACACCATGAAGCCCTTTTATTATTATTTTTTCTACCTTCCATGTACGAATGTGTTGTTGCGGTGCCTTCATCCCACAGAGGATTCCTAAATATAGAAAGGGCACGAGGGGAATCTGAATGCATGCGACTGTGCAAACAGTATGACTCCGTTTATTATAATAAATAAACACAATCAAGGTTCATGTGCAGTGCAATAGCACAATTCTGCAGTCACATTGAGCGCGGTTTAGGTTAAAGTCAACGTCTGTTTGTGTGATGTCAATCAGAATCTTGTAAAATATGATCAATTGGTCAAGGCCTTGTTGTATTGCGCTGTAAAATAAAGAACTCTAGGGCCAGTTTAGTTGAAAGAATGACATTTCGTTTTCTTGGAGAACATTTCATAATCTTCTGTTGGCCTTTGTGTACTTTTTTATGTTGCCATAGCAGACTGCAGCAGTGATGACAGCCCCAGTGTCTTACTATAATGCAGTTCCTCATGTTCTGTTTGATATGGGATTGCAATGTTCACAAAGCCTTTTAGATTTGTTTTTGGTCCTTTTGTTAAAACCATCAACCCCATAAAAACTTGAGGAATTTTGATTTTATTGGGACACTTCACTTTTTCCTTGCCCAGGTCACCCACAAGTTGAAGAGGTTTTTCAATCCATTCAGCTAATCTGCAGGTCTAGCGGGAGCAATTTTAGCTTCGCTTGGCATAAATAATTGAATCGGATTAGACCATTAGCATAATTTTCCTATTTAAAGTTTGACTCTTTTTATAGTTACATCATGTATTAAGACTGATGTAAAATGAAAAGTTGCTATTTTTTTCTAGATTGTTATGGCTAAGAACTATTCTTCTTTTCTGTCATAATAATGAAGGAACTTTGCCGCTGTACCATGGCTGCAGTAGGTGCAATGATATCACGCAGTTCTGTTACCTAGCACAATATATCGCTTTAGCATCGATTTAACAGTGTGCGCATCTGCAATAATCACATGGCAAGATTTTCAATGTTAAGTCTGAATTATAGTAGATCAAAAACCTACAGAACACACATGGTTTGTAGAGTCACTGCTAAACTATAGTAGTGTTATCAAAAAGTATCGAATTCGGTAACAGTAGGTACTGACATTTTAAAAACGTCCATTTCTCGCTAACAATTAAGCACATTCTTAAACACCACTGATTGTGTATTGTTCTCACATGCTCAACAGATGTGACTGTGATTGGCCGTTAAGGTAATCAGTTCACCGCTGTTCAAAGTGTATCTTTCTATATTCCGTATCACCGCTATCTTTCTATATTCCAGTATCGTGGCAATACTATGATAGAGTGAGGTTCTCATTTGCGTGTGTTTTTAAGGCCAGTATTTCCAGAGAGTTGAAAATTTTTGGGCACAAAAAAATTGTGATGTTTAGAGGTGTAAAAGAGATTAATTTTATTTAATTGCCTTAAAGCTGGATTTATACTTTTACGCGGCGCCACATCACGCACCTCTGCTGACTGCCGCACGCACCTCACAAAGTGGATAAGGCTTTTATACTTGCCGCGTTCGCCGATGTGATATTCGTTAAAACAACAGGGATAGTCAGACGGATAAACCGAGAAGTAGAACGTTTCCAGAACTACATCACATTAAAATCGTTCAAGATTTTTTAGCAAAATGTTTTTTTATAAATTATTATTTTAATGATTATACAGATTTTTAAAACTATTCAAGACTTTTTAAATCAAACTTTGATGCCTCACTTGCTTTTGTTCATATCTCGGACAGTTTTACCTAATAAAGTTTATTAAAATATTAATGACAAGAGAACATGGGTTGATCTACAAATAGATTTTTTTTATTAATGCAAAAATAAAAGCAAAAAAAGTACACTTACTAAAAATAGACTAAAAATTTTTTTTTTTTTTTAGATTTAGCCCGTTCCACAATTGACACATTACTGACTGGCTAGTTTCTGTTCTATACTTATGCTAAAAAGGCAGCAATGGTCCAACATTCCTGACCATTATCACCACTAAAGCCTAGAAAAACAGGCCATCAGTATATTGTAAGGTTCAAATAATTCTTTCCAGTCGTCAAAGAAATATTTTGTTCCTTAATTATAGTTTTGTATCCATTACATTGTTTTAAATTCAAAAATGTAATACAAACATCAGTGAAAAGCCTATGAATGGTGGAAGAACATATTTCTGTAATTGTGTGCATGGGTCTCCACCTTTGCCACTGTCTCTTTTAGCTTTAACAATCTTATGCCTCAGGTTTTTCCTAACTTTTTATCAAAAACATTCCTCTGCTGTTACAATTTCTAGCCAAGAATTATTGATCATCTGGTTATCTCTATGATCACAGATCATAAAGATGTCTGCATAGTCGTACTGTTTCAGACAAAATCTTTTCAAAGTGTTTCATATTCAACTGGTATCAAACACGGCGCCGGGCGAACTGTTTGCTCGAGTCTCAAAAAAAAATCATGTGTTCCGCCAGCTGTAGTCATGTCGCGTGCACCCAAAGCGAACCTCGCAAACACCATCATGACGTCAAATTCGCTGCGTGTACTCAAGCGAACTAGCGGATGCGTCGAGTATAAACCATGCTTAATAAAAAAAAGTTTTCCTTCGAATTTTTGTCTCGTTTCTAGTCCAAATATCTACATTTCAAAGCCAAAACAATATTATTTTCCTTACGACATTGGCAGATAATTTAGCTTGTTTTAAAGAAAAACTTTTAATTTTGTATTTATTTCCTGTGAAGTTCAAAATAAAACAGCATTTGTACTTGATCTAAGACATTTTTTTAGATGCATCAACTAGAAACAGGACAAAGCAAAAGTCAATTTTAGTACCTGAAAAGTGTTAGACCACACAGAAAATTGTCAAATAGATGGAATAAATATATAACTATTGAAAAAAAAAAAACTTTGTGAAAAAAACTTTCTTGTGAAACTGTATTCGAATCGCAATATTTGTTGCAGAAAAATAAGACATCAGAAAAAAATCTGATTCTTCCAATGTGGTGCAGCCCTACTAGTAACCTAGCAAGGGACACGGTGCCTGCTGCAAACATGGCATGGCAGCAAATTCCCTTGATTATTCTAAACCCCAGAGACTTTCGTTCATCTTCAGTACACAAGTTGAGATATATTTGATGTGCCCACGCTTTATTTCAAACAGGATGTCACACATGGGCATCCGGGCTGTACATTAGCAGAGCAACAGAAAGCTGTTAGATTTCATCTGAAATATCATAATTTGACCTATGAAGATGAACGAAGGAAGTCTGGGTTAATTATGAACTAAATTTCACACAGAAAAAAAAAAATTGCTATTATCTTAATCTTAATTATCTTAATATTATTACACTCGCCTCAGGCCATTCATGATTTCATCTTGCGCCTCATGAAATGCAATGAACATGTCATGGCTTTTTGCAGTCTCTCAAGGCAGTTCTGGAAGGTATAATACTGAAACACTGATGGACTTTGGCTAGAAGATTTCAGAAGAACTAAAACAACATTTGAGATATTTAGCAATGTTGTTGGTCAACTGGTTTGTCTATTATTGCCGTATCATTGTACCTATAATCCAAATCACATGGCTTTTGTTTTGATGTACATACTGGGATTTATTCGGTAAATGTGTTTCCATGGCATACCCAATTGAATATCCGTTGTTGTTTGACATTTACAACCTTAATTGCATTATTATATGTTTGGGAATGTACAGAACAGTAGTTTATTTGATCTCTTATCCTCTCTGTGAGCGATACCTGTAATCAGAGTGAAAGTTCCTAGTCGTTAAATCGAGGCGTTGTATTGGATGTTATTAGATTGGTATTTCTGGAATGATGATGGCTCTCCTGCTAATACTTTTGCTTTTGATATTCTTAACATATCACAAAACCATTTAATGAACTGAAAATGGATTCTTTTTAGGGATGGGATGGTTCACATAGGGCTGGGAAAATATGGGCAAAAAATCATATCTCTGTATTTTTAGGAGGACCAGCGCAGTCATCCCTCCCTAGTCAAAAGTGACATTTTGTGTCTGCCGGTGTGTTTACTTGCGGGAGTTCCATTGGCATTTTTTTCCGCACGTCAATTTTGACCAATCAAAAAGCAGTTTAGGAAATGCGTTCAATAACATCTGGCCAATGAGTGATGTGGGTTTTGTCACATGACTGTATTTTGGTTCTTTTCAACTAATTCAGACCAAAGCAATCAGTGTGGTTTGGAAGGGACCCAAAACCGGCAGAAAATGCTGAAAATTTGTCATCCTTGGTCCGGACCAACTGAACCGAACCACAGATGTGAAAGCACCCTTAGTCTTTTTGTCATTTTGGAAATTGTTTGTTTTTATTGAGATATTGTTTAAAATGTTACTTTTCGAAGGGGGTGTACTCATTTATGCTAAGAGCACTATATTTATTTTTTATGCATTTATAGTATAATATTTTAACTCATTTAAATTAATATTTTGATTTATTTAACGTTAGTATCTCGTACACTACATGGTTGAGTGTGTAAGGGCTAAGTTTATAGTATGTCATTTGGGATGCAACTTTTGTCTCTCAGTTTTTGGTAAACCCCCAAAAACTGAAAATATCATCTGTTTGTATTAGTAGATCATCTTGGCCACATCTTCCTTTCTAAATGCATTGAGTTGCCGCTATGTTGTCGGCTTGTTCAATAATTGTCCTAATAAGATTTTCTGTTTACCGTTTGTAGCTGCCCTTTGGTTTCCATGAACGAGACAGAGAGTTTCTGACGGGTGCTTGATTCTTTATTATGCTCAAGACGAGAGCCATTAAACTTTCGTTGCGTAGCACCGTGAAACTACACAAAGAAACAACAAAAATCAATAAAAACAACTCGTATACAGAATAATATGACAAATAAAGATATAATGTACAGAGCGACATATGAAAGTGAAACAATGAAGTATATGAAGACAGTTTGAGCTCACGATTAACATATACATACAAATGAACTCATGTGGCTTAAATATTAACTTCACATACCTCGCTCCGCTTTCCCAAAGGGTTCTATTAAATAAATTGTGCAGGATTAAGCCTCCTTTTTCCATAAAACGCACAGCAACGTGTCTTCTCTTCGCTCACGCTAGCATGATTAACCTATTAGGCCCCGTTTACACTAGTGCGTTTTAGTTTTAAAACGGCGTTTTAGAATGAAAACGATGCGCGTCCACACTCGCGTTTTACCCAGCATTTCTGAACTGCCCTCCGTCCACACCAAAACGCTAAAAACGCACATCACGTGACCACACAAGCACACTTTGGCAAGCGCTGCAGCCCATCTACCCAGATGAGAGCTGTGCTAGTCGGACTTCTCATCAAGCATCTCCCGTTGGATCTAATCTCACTATATTTATTAAACGTGATATTTCATTCATCTTGTTGTCTTTATCTTACGACATATTCCCTGACTTTGGGCATTGGAATCTATTACTTGTTCTCAGGTAACGTGTTTTGGCTGAGCGCAAAGATAAGTTAATGATTAATGTAAGCACGTAGCCTACATTCTGTATATTGACTGATCGCTTGCCTTTATTTCCTATAATGTGTAAACTTATTGTATGTTATACTTTTATAATGGCCATTATCGATTATTAAAACTGATATTTAGCAAAAGAAAGGGTATGTTTCGTATTTTCACTGAAATTGAAAGGAGACAGTTATCGGCTCCGTTTTGTTATAAATATCCACACTGTGAAGATGATGCTCATTATGCAGCACGACGCCTCAACATTTCTGCATTAAAATGAAAATAGGCAGTTCCTTAAATCATGTTGACATTTTATTGTTGAGAAAGTGAAACAACGTAGCCAGGGTGATGTAAATGAAGTTATAAAGTACACTGTTCCCTTTGAAGATTGACGCGTGTCCTCGGTATAGTCTGTTTTCCATATCAAACTGAGAAGAGACTGCAGCCTTGATCAAACTTGCGAAGTCTGAACTTACACGGAGAAGATGCAGGACTGAACTGTGTGTGTTAGGCTACTTAATATTGAGGAAAAGCCCCAATCAGAGAGGCGAATGTCTGCAGCCCCGCCTCCGTTTTCAGATGTCTCCGTTTTCCATCATCCACACTGAGACGGAGCAGCAGCGTTTCAGAATGAAAACGGCCTCTCCTGCGGTTTCGAAACGCTCCGTTTTCGACGCTAGAGAACTCCGGTGTAGTGTGGACGGATGGCGTAACTGTAGCAAAACTTATGCGTTTTCAAACTAAAACGCATTAGTGTAAACGGGGCCTTAGTCACCTAGGCTACCGAAACACGTGACATGCTCTGATGCTCTACAATTATTTAAAGTGATTTAATGATTTAGTGGTCACTTACACCGTTGGATTAATAATCTGTCATCCATTGATTTACTGGTATTCTCTTCCTCTATCAGGTGAATGTTGCTGCTCTATTTCTCATCTCTTGAGTCTCTGTGATGGACATGGAGACAGCTGTCTGTGAGCCTCATTACCAGAATGGTGACGTCCACCACGAGGATCCTTGTCCAAAGCAGCCCACCGTTCTCAAGATCCACCTGTACCATAGCAGCCGGAGCGACGCCGACTCCAGCCCGATCTGTTACCCGCCTGGAGAGTACATCACAGAGCAGCTCATCATCCACGCTGCCAAGGAGAGCGGTCAGTCACGCATGATAGAAAATGCAGAATTCGTAGACAAGAATTACAGTCAAGCCAAATATTATTCTGGCTACTTCATTTCTGTTTATTCGCTAGAGTGGTTATAAAATATAACAATAGCTGTATCCGAAATTGCTCCCTATACCCTTAAAAAGTGCATATACAGGGGTTGGACAATGAAACTGAAAGGCTATGAAGGTTTAATTAGCAGAGTAATAGCACAGTTTTGCTTAAAATATTGCAATGCACACAACATTATGGGTGAAATATAGGATGAGCAATACACACAGCAATACTGGTAAAAGAGTGGCTTGATGAACCTAAAAGTGAACATTTCGCATGGCCTGCACAGTCACCTGAACCTAACATTATTGAGCCACTAAGGCCCCGTTTACACTGCCAGTTAAATGTGACCCAATTCTGATTTTTTGCTGATATGTGACACAGATCGGATCTGTTCTATGACCGTGTAAACACGAAAATAACGCATGTTCGGATATTCAGAGATCGGTTTCAGGCCTCCTTCATATGTGGAAATAAATCAGATATAGATCGGATATGTGACGATGCTTTACGTTCTTTACATCATTATATTGCGGCAATGTGGTGCTTCTCCGCGGTTTAATGACGGAAAGAAGAGCGTGTGTGGAGATGCCGATGCGGTAAACAACATCAGAGGAAACACAGAGGAGGAAAGTGGTCAGTCGCCACAATTTGCTCCCACCAGACCTGAGATCTGGCTCATACCCATACATTCCTCTGAATGGTGGAGGACATCATAAAGCATATAAACCATAAGCGCAAGCTGCGATGACGGCCCTTTTCCACCTCCGCCTCAAAATCATTTTAAAGTTGGGCGAACTTCATGTTGTAACGTTTGCTTTTTGTTGCTGTTAATACACGCACTGCGGGCTACACATAGAATAACTTTATTCTCTCCAACACCAGTGCGCACACAGGCAAAGCCTACATCTACAACCACACACACACACATCAGGGCCATACCATTACATAAACTGCGTGGGGGTAAATCTGGACTAAACCATTCACTGCTTATACTACACTTTGCATATTTCGCAGAGCTAAAAACAAGACCATTTCTTCCATCGTGGCTATTGTTGCACAGATGCTAGAACTGGCCTTTATGCATGCGCGACATCGTAAATTGTATGGAAAGTGTAAACGCATGAATTGGATATGGGTCAAAATTAAAACAATGTGTAAACAGACAGGCAAACAAATCAGATGTAGGCAACAAATCGGAATTGGGCATCAAGACCTGACAGTGTAAATGGGGCCTTAGGTGTTTTGGAGGAGCGAGTCAGGAAAGGTTTTTCTCCACCAGCAACATGTAGTGACTGGGCCACTAATTGATGGTGTATTAGCCGTGAAAGGAGGCCCTAAACTATACTGAGGGCCTACTCACACTATGCCATCCGTACCGTGCCCTGGCCCGTTTCCCGGATCGTTTGAGAAGTGCGAGTGCGCTGAATCGGGCTCAAGCACGGTTCACTTGGCCGACCCTGGCCCGGTTGGAAGAGGTGTGCCTGAGCGCGGTTCACTTGGGCTTTGGCACGGTACGCTTGTGTGTGAGTGCAAAACGCCACAAAGCCCGAAACTGAAAGCGAGACGTGACTTTTAAGGGGCTGTTTCATATACATTTATTAATCATTCTTACTGTTCAGTGAACGCAAACTGTCGTAGTTTATTAAAGATGAGAACTCACAGCTCGACAGCTGCGCGGCTTCAGCAGACCTCCTCATTCCTGCAGCACGAGAGCTTTATAATTGTTTTTGAGCGCCAAAAGTGGCGGATCTGTTCGGCAAAATATCTGACTGCGTGTCACCGCATCCCTAAGGACTGTTTGGCGAAATATTTGACTGCATGAAATAACTAGAGATATCTCCACTGTGCTGCTGAGTGAGAGAGCGCTTCTCACTGAACAGCGCAGCAGCGACGACGTAAGCGTGCCGAGGCCCATTTGTGGTGTGAGTGCGGGCCATCGGGGGAGACAGGAGGGGGGACAAGCGTGCTTTGGCACGGTTCGAGGCAACTGTACCTAGTGTGAGTACGGCCTAATAAACTATTGTGGTCTAAAACCAGGCGTTTCATTGTGCAATCCATATATATAACATTTTGCATGGCCTGCACAGTCACCAGACCCGAATATTATTGAGCCACTTAGGTGTTTTGGAGGAGTGAGTCAGGAAAGGTTTTCCTCCACCAGTAACATGTAATGACCTGGCCACTATTCTACAAAAAGAATGGTTTTAAATCCCTTTGGCCAATGTGCAGGACTTGTAACTGCCATTCCCAATAATAATTAATGCTGTATTGGCCCTAAAAGGGGGTCCTAAACTATACTAATGAACTATTGTGTGGTGGTCTAAAACCAGGCGTTTCATTGTGCAATCCATATAATTCTTAATTTTTTTTTTTTTAAGTGATTAGCCATTTATAGGTGGCTGTTCTTAAGTGCAAATAATCAATCCCACAATGCACCATAAAAATGAGTGTACTCGTAACCCATAAATATGCTGCATTCCAGTCCAATTTTCTATGCTCTTCATAATTCATCCGAGGAATGGATTAACCAGCACAAACAAAACTGCATCCCTTCCAGTGTAGTCTGCGCTCTAATTCACTTGCTTGTTTTCATTCACTTTTTCAAGTGGACTAATGTAGGGAACAGTGAATGAGGGGAATAGGAAAAGTGCTTTCGGATCAAGCGATTTCTGTTTAAGCATCACCCAGGTTCTTTTCTATAAATTCCTTTTATGGCATTTATAGCAAAGGAGACGTGACTATCTAAAGGAGACGTGACTGTGAAAAACGTTCCGCGTCGAGACTATTTATCAGTCGCTTGGTGTCTGCTTTGGTTTTTGTGCACCGAGTGCCCTGTCCACTGTGAAATGTCATTTCATTCATATTGTGACGCTCACTGCTGTATATTAAACACAAATTGTGTCGGCACACATTTTTCCATTTAAGTTTGACCGGAAATAGGGCTTGTTACTGAAAACATGTCACTCTCTTCATGGTTAGAGCACAGCACTAAAATATATTTTCCCCCAAATAAGGTTGGTATATTTTTAGGGCTAGATTTTAATTACATACATGAAAAAAATCTTACAAAGCCCAAACTTATAAATTAGAATATGTATTTGATGATTGTTTGTTTGAATAGCTTTTTTTTTTCAATATTTTAACTATATTCTTCATATCTTAAGTTTGAAATCTTTTATATTTGGTCTTTTTTTATCTTTATAGCTGTAACTTATATTTCTATATCTAAAATTGTCTGTTTTTTACGTATTATACTCTATAATTTAGATTCTTATTGATAATATTTATTTTAAGGTAACGTGGTTTAATAAGCATATTGGACTGTGTATATGACATAAAATTTGAATTTAATATTTATAGGTTGAAGATGAGTTTTATTTTCAAATATCAAGACAATAAAAGTGTTACAAAAACATAATTACTATTATACATTTTTGAGTGTAACATTACTTGTATACCAAATCTTTTCAGGCATATTTAGAATAACAAATCATTTATTTACATATTGAAATATTTTTTTCATCAAGTACCACCTCAGAAAAAATTGTCTCTGCAAGTACCACCATAATGACAAGGCAAATTAATTCCTATATTTAAGAATATTTATTATTGTTGGCCACTTTAAACATTATAAATAATTTAAACATTAACACTGTACTGTGCTTATAGGTAAATAAAATAAAATAAAAAAATAAAGTCAACATTTAATATGTGCTTTTAAAAGTTAATTAAAAATGGTAGACTACTGTTCTCAAAGTAAACAGAAAACTGCTGTACTTAAATGTAAAATATTAACAAATAGTAACCTATTCATCAAAACCTGCAAATGTTGCTTGGACCTCATAAATATAGGCTACATGTCATCATATTTAAACCATTTTTAGATCAATTTTGAAATATGTTGCATGACATTTTGTCATATCTTTGAAATCTAAACATTAACTTTATATTTTAAAATAAATTATTTGGAATAACTTTAATTAGATCAGCTCACCGCTCGTCCTTTACAGTACGTGTGTCAAAAGTGAGTGATCATATGCATAAATACACTGCTTGACCAATTCATGCGTGATTTATTAATTCAAACGTGCAGAATTTCCATAATTTGAGATCTCATCTTAAGTGGAGTTTGTGTTAGCCACACACAAACTTACTTTTAATTAGGCTATATTCTAGCTCTAAGCTTCGAGTAAGGCAAAGTTGCTTGAGTCTATGTTCTGTGTCCTGCGACATTTGAATCACATCCTGATCAATTAGCCTAAATCTGAGGTAACAAATTAATCGAAAGCCACGCTGCTTTACAAAACAAATAACGAAAACACGCATTATTTTACACGACTAAGAACAGACATTTAACACATTTGTGATAATTATTTTACCAATGATGCAGCATGGGGAGATTCCTGAGTTTGCAGTAACTAAGATGCCAGCACAACAGCACTGGTGTGCAAAAGTGCTTCTGTCGCGTGTATCTGCTCCGCAAGTGCCATGCGCCTCTTTTTCTGGCTCTGCGCCAAAGCGGTTTGATTTTTAGCATCTGATGATGTGATGAAGCAAAGTAAACATTCTAAGCACACAGATGTGATTGTATGCTTCAGGGAACAGCCGTTGCTGATCAAACCCGTGTAATCGTTCGCCTTAAAGGGTTAAAAGTGTTTTTTTTTTTTTCCATTATTCAGTATTTCTCCATGTACCACAGTTTGAGAACCACTGTTATTGACTACTTAATCACAGTGCACACTATATATTTTATCACACGATCCTTCAAACCACTAGGTTTAACCCAAGTTTATAATTAATTAAAATGTAATCAAAATCAGTATGAAAACATTTGAATGAGTATTTGGAATTTTATTCCATATTCTAACATTTATTTAAAACATTAAATCAGACACTCTACTTGGAATAACCATGCTCTATGTATATAAAATCCCTTATTTAATTTGATGGGGATTGGGGACAGCAAATATGGACATCTTGTTTTTAAACCATATGCAAACATTCCCACGATAATCGTATTTCTTTGTGCCGGAAATATATGCCAAGTGTGAACAATCAAATCAATATAACTGCCATCTTTAAGCCTGGTTTATACTTCTGCGTCAAGTGACCGGTGTAACCCACGGCGCATGCAACGCGTGTAGCTTTGCATTTATACTTCTGGGCGCTGTCTCTGTTGGTCTGCATTAACACTTTCAAAACGCTTGTTGGCAGTGAGGTGTTAATGTGTCTCTGTGTCGAGTTTCTTCGCTGGTGTTTTGTTCTTTCTGAACGCTTCCTGGATGTACAAGTGGCTCAAACTCACTCATTTTGAGGCAGGAACCGGCGGACTCCACACTTGTTAACAATCGCTCCATCGGGTTTGCACCACTCACGTGGCTCACGGTTCCGCCCAGACTCGTCAGCGATACCAAGCCGACCAATCACAAAGTTTGCGCTACGCGCCGTTGCGACGTGTAGTTACATTTTTGGAGACATGCACATCAGCGACGCTGATGGCCGCGGTGTAGGGCTGTGCGTCGACGCGTAGGCTGCGCCGTAGCATATGCGTGCGCTTGCGTGCGCAGCTGTTAAAAAGCTTTGAAGGAAGTCTGAAGAAAAAAAAACTGACATCTTGAAATGCCATCATACATCTGTCACCAATACCTATCTGGAGACGAGCTGATGGCTCCTGGGCTGATGTTTATCTTCATTCAACAGTAAACACAGGTGGACTGACAGGATCTTACATTATATAAGGCATCAATACTGAACTTGATTGATGTGAGAATCTCCAACCTGCCCCCAATAACGAACTGTTTACACAATACTCTCAGCAAGTATGATAACAAAAGAAAATACAACTTTTCCTCATAAGTACAAAACAATGATGACAATAGGTATATAGGGGTGACAATAAATAGCTAGGCGAGTTATCAAAATGAAAGAGAAAACTTATTTTCCCTATTACGGTTAACTTGATTTTTTTTTAGTTCCTGTTAATACTTCCCCTTTAAAAACATATGTGGGAATAAAAATATGTATAATCTAGTTCCAAATAAGGAACAATATATATAGAACTGAAAAGTTACATTCTTTGGTTTAAAAAAGAACAACCAACACATTCTCTATAAAGAATTCTATATGAGACGAGTCTCCTGGTTTTTTGTTGTGAAATTAACAATTTGGTGCCGTGACCCGGATAGAGACTGAAATTACAAATTTCCAACAATTTGGTGCCATGACCCGGATAGAGACTGAAATCGCAAATGTCCAACAATTTGGTGGCGTGACCCGGACAGAGACTGAAATCACAAATGTCCAACAATTTAGTGCCGTGACCCGGATAGAGACTGAAATCACAAATGTCCAACAATTTGGTGCCGTGACCCGGACAGAGACTGAAATTACAAATTTCAGACAATTTGGTGCCGTGACCCAGATAGAGACTGAAATGACAAATTTCCAACAATTTGGTGCCGTGACACGGAGAGAGACTGAAATTACAACTTTCCAACAGTTTGGTGCCGTGACCCAGACAGAGACTGAAATTACAAATTTCCAACAATTTGGTGCCGTGACTCGGATAGAGACTGAAATTACAAATGTCCAACAATTTGGTACCATGACCCGGATAGAGACTGAAATTACAAATTTCCAACAATTTGGTGCCGTGACTCGGATAGAGACTGAAATTACAAATGTCCAACAATTTGGTACCATGACCCGGATAGAGACTGAAATTACAAATTTCCAACAATTTGGTGCCGTGACCCGGACAGAGACTGAAATTACAAATTTCCAACAATTTGGTGCTGTGACCCAGATAGAGACTGAAATGACAAATTTCCAACAATTTGGTGCCGTGACCCGGAGAGAGACTGAAATTACAAATTTCCAACAATTTGGTGCTGTGACCCGGATAGAGACTGAAATTACACATTTCCAACAATTTGGTGCTGTGACCCGAATGGAGATTAAATTACAAATTTCCAACAATTTGATGCCATGACCCAGGTAGAGACTGAAATCACACATTTCCAACAGTTTGGTGCCATGACCCGGAGAAAGAGTGAAATTACAAATTTCCAACAATTTGGTGCCATGACCCGGATAAACTGAAACCACAAATTTCCAACAATTTGGTGCCATGACCCGGATAGAGACTGAAATCAAATTTCCAACAATTTGGTGCCGTGACCTGTATAGAGACTGAAATCACAATTTTCCAACACATACAAACTACTGCGTGTGGACTGATGTCATATGTATATATGTGTATGTGTTTAAAATAGTTGGCATGAATTGTTGCTTTTTGTGTTTGCAGGAGTGTCACCAGTATACTGCAGCCTCTTTGGGCTCTACAAAGAAGATGAAGCCATCTGGTTATCACCCAATCACGTCCTCCATTTAGATGAAACCGCCAATGAGAGTTTGCTATTTAGAATAAGGTAATGCACTTTCATTTAAAGCAATAGGAACAGTGTACACATTTTGCATTTACTCGCCTTGAAGAGTTTCTTTGTTTTTTTTAAAGGGACAGTTTACCCAACAAATTGTTTTTTCTCACCCTTGTGGTTTTAAAACTATATGAGTTTTTTTATCCTGTTCAACACAAAAGAAGTATTTTGAAGAATGCTGAAAACCCGTAATCATTGACTTGCATAGTTGGAAAAACACATAATATGGAGGTCAATAGTTACAGGTTTCCAGCTTTACTCGAGGTATCTTCTTGTGTTTAACGTAAAAAAAGAAAGTCAAATAGGTTTTAAACAGTGAAGGGTAAGTCGGTGATGACAAAAGTAAAATTTTGAATCTCTTTAACACAAAAGAAGATATTTTGAAGAATGTTGGAAACATAACCATCGACTTTCATAGTAGAGCAAGTCAGTAGCTGTGTGTCCATCCATCTGTTTTTATCCAAATATTCATTCATTTTCCTTCGGCTTAGTCCCTTTATTTATCAGGGGTCGCCACAGCGGAATGAACTGCCAACTATTCCAGCGTATTTTTTATAATTTACGTTGGTAATCAATTTGTGTTGGCACAACCTGAAGGCATTATGAAGAACACAGCCACTAATTTTGTATTTCCTGTCAGGTACTATTTTCCTGGCTGGTACAGTTGCGGGACGTCCCGGGCGTACCGCTATGGAGTGACTAAGGGATCCGAGAGCCCGGTCCTAGACGACTATGTAATGTCTTACCTCTTTGCTCAGGTGAGAAATGATTTTTAATCTGTGCTGTCTGTGCTGTCAGTGGCTACAGAATCACCATAGCAACTGTGCATTACAGTTACGCCTCACTTGGCCTGAAATGTGAGCATATCTTGCGTAATTGACCACATCCATATATAATTGAATTGCAGTTTGGCCTAGATTATCTTCTTCAGAGAACACACAGTGTTGGTTTTTGTGTTTTCCAGTGTGGAAATGGGAATTATAGCACTGGATATCTACATGGATAAAAGCCCCTATTTACTAAATCAGTGATAAATAAAGGAAACTCATGCTAGCCGCTGTCTGACTCTACTGAGTGGGTTTGTTTTTGTGGCGCCGGTTTGTCTTCCAACGACAGCGTGGTATGCGATGACTGTCACAGAGGTGTTGTTTTTTTTTCTATTTGTGCATTAGTGTATTTTAATAAAATTGTAGTCCGTTTTGTTTAAATGAAATAAAAATAAAATGCTTAACAGCACTCTGATAAATCACTGGCATGTGTGATTACTAGGGGTGTAACGGATAACGGTTGATCTGTGATTTGTACGGATCAAAACCATTGGTTCGGAACATGTGTGACCCATGGATTTAATACATATTTTCACTAATAGATTAATTCTAAATTTGTAACTATCACATAGAGATCTCCTCTCATGTCATTCAAATCATATATGAAAGCATTTAGGCGTTTCAGTAAATATGATGATGATGATAATAGAAGAAGTGCTGGGTTTCATTAAAGGTGTTTTCTGTCGCTACTTATTTAGCCTGTATTAATGCATTCAGTGTAAGCTGCACGATCAATCATTAAAAGATCAGGCTCTCAACACCCACGCAACATAAATTATAAATGAATCGCTACATTCAAATCTGAAAACGCAAAAATCAAGAATGATATTGAGTCTTTAGTCTTTTGAGTTATTTATGAAGTTACAAACAGTCATATAACTCCGAAGTACTGGTATAGCAGTTTACAGTTTAGATAAAACCGCTCATGTTTATGGTGAAGATCATATGCATTTAACGACGCTCAAACATAAAAGTTGTAGGCAGCAATTACATTATTTAACCAATCGGCAGAGACAAACAGCCATAAAAAAGTCACTGAATTATTCTTCAATAATGATCATCTAGCAATGAAACATGGAGATTTATTAGTGAGTAACTAAATAAATTTAGCGTTATCAGCAGCAGTAGTAACAGTGAATTTTTTACAGTACTGAATGTTTTACAATTTAGTTTTATTGAGCTGATTATTTCTTTATTTTATTTTTAGTAGGTTCTCAGTTGTTTGTTAAAAGCAAAAGTGTCTCAGAGTACTGTTTTTGTAATTAATGGAAAGTAAATTACATTTGTCTCCTCCCCTTTTTGGCTGATCCGAAAAATAATCTGATCTGTAACCAAAAAAAAACGTAATGTGATCTAAACTGAGAGATTTGTGATCCATTACACCACTAGCCATTAGTGGTAATAAACGGAGTTAGCAATTGCTAATAAACTGTTTAATTTCAGATTAAAAATATGTATAGTACTTTTTATAAAAGGACCAGAAGTTCTGTATTTTTGGAGAGGGGTGCATGAATACCTTTTAAAGATACTGCATACTTTCGCCCCAAGCTTAAACATACTTGGTGACACCTGTTCCTTAAGTAGGCCGATTACACTGAACATGCTTTTACTTTCAAAAACGCAAGGTGAAACACACTTTCTTTTTTGTTGACCAGAAAAGAAAGAAGCGCGGTGCGCTTTAAGTCACTAGGCAATAGAGATGCAGCTAAAATGACACCCGAATTCGCGGCTTCAAAATAATCATACAATTGTCATATAGTTTTAATCTGATATATGTATCTGCACCCGATTGTCACTTTAATAATTTAATTCTTTGTTTTGGGCATGATGATAGGTCACCGTGGATATTAAAAGCAGATTCAATGAGCTATAGTCTGTTCATCTCTGATAGTGAAACAATACGTTATTTGTAAACGTTTTTAAATGAACATTTATTTATAAAAACAAAAGTTTGTTTTTAGACAACATTTTCTTCATTTTCAAATAGATACAGAAAGTAAAAATAAGACATTTAGCTTTTACAGATACAGGAACAAGATAACAAAAAGGTGGCACTTCAGCCTAAATGACAGCTCTGTTATGTTTACTTGGCCTTTTTCTTCGCACTGTGCAAAAACAGAACAGCATCTACTGTGCCTGGATTTGGGTGATTCTGCCTCGTCTCCTAAATGCGGCCAGCTGCACTGAATGAGCATTTGCTCGCACCGCTTGTTGTAGGAATGAACAAGATTCTCCTCGCAAGGTGCTGTAGACGTGGAAATAAGCGATCTCGTTTCTCCCAGAACGATAGCAGATTTTCCTCTGATGACTCCTCTCAAACTGTTGGAACTTTGAACCGTAGGCTACTCTTGCACTTCATCCATTATTTTGGGCATCTCATCTTCCCATTCTGCAAAGCCCACTCTCTGCTTTTTGGCTGGTCCACTGCCATGTCCCGCTACATCCACCCACAACCCACACGCAATTAATCATTTTGTATTTTTTTTATTACCTGGCCCGACCGACCTGCGGATTATCTGCAGCGCCCGCGGATATAACCGCCATCCGCGCAATACTAGGCAACAAATGAATCAGCTGTGTATTGTGCGTGAGTGTTGCTGTTGATTATTGTTATAAATATAATTTTTGATAATCTTGTGATAATAATGATGTTTCAAGAGTTCACACTTAGATAGTGCTTGACTATTTAAGCTAGTTTGGCATGCTGTCCCGGGAGAGAACCCTTAGCTTGGTGATAGATGAGCCCAAGGCTCCCGCCTGGTCAATAAGCATTAGGAGGGATATGAGATCAGGTAGTTCTCGATAGCTCCCAAAATAAATTACTATTGGCACTAATTTGTAGTATGTGCTTGTGACTTTAACTTTGCATGGTTTTTGGGTGTGGGAGGAAACCGAAGTACCCGGAGAAAACCCACGCAAACACGGGGAGAACCAATGACCTCCTTGCTGTGAGGCAACAGTGCTAGCCACTGAGCCGCCGTGACGCCCGAACTGAGGAGGAGGGAGAAGGGAAGGATGGGGGGGGTTTCCAAAAACGAAGATGAGGAATGAAGTTTAGGCTGGATATTTATATTAAATTTAGAGTGATCCGATTGGCTAGTTAGTGATTAGTGATAAGGATCAGCTGTAGTCAATTCTATCACGTGCTCCTCTCGAAATTAGTTTGGGAAACTTCACTTAAAATTTGTTAAGTCAAACAGCGGATGACTTGAAACAGTGGCCGCTAGCAAAGACTATAGAAAACACAAGACATGTCACTCTTATAGTTTTGAATGGGGTAAAAGTGTAACAATTAATAGGGTGAATGAAGCCCCACCTACTAGTATAGGAGCCAATCATCGATTGCTATAGAGCAGGGATCACCAAACTTGTTCCTGGAGATTCGGTGTCCTGCAGATTTGAGCTCCAACTCTAATCAAACACACCTGAACAAGCTAATCAAGGTCTTACTAGGTATACTTGAAACACCTAAGCAGGTGTGTTCAGAGAAGTTGGAGCTAAACCCTGCAGGGCACTGGACCTCCAGGAACGAGTGTGGTGACCCCTGCTATAGAGCAGTGGTTCTCAAAGTGGGGGTCGGGACCCCCCGAGGGGTCGCGGGGCAATGAAGGGGGGTCGACTGGTGATTTTTCAAAAATCGATTTATTTTTATTAAACCATAAGAATTAACATATTTTATCCATAACTATACTGAAAATAAAAAAGTCGTTTATAGTTACTATATACTATATAGTTACTATAGTAGCTTATAGTTACTAGTTCTATTGGATTGCGACCCCTGGGGTAATTACATTATATTAAAGGCAGCAATAGCGTCAGATGCATTTTGATTTTATAACATCAGGTTATACTTTCTGGCACATTTAAAGCACTGACACAAATTTAATTGGTGTGTCTGCGTCATTGCATGCAAGGTTTCTGTATTTATAACCACCTCAGAGGATATTGCGGGTCGCGAGTCACTGGCGTTGTAATTTTGGGGGTCGCGGGCTGAAAAGTTTGGGAACCCCTGCTATAGAGTGACGTTTCTCCAGGGGGAAGCTCGGTGGATCAGTTGGTACCGGGCCACAGAAAAAGTAATGACTTTTTTGCAGTTATTTTTTTATCGGGAGTCCGAACAATCTTTTATTTGGAAAAATTACCGTATTTTCTCCGTTACATCTTGATGACTTGAGCATTTTCCACACGTAAGGTTGTTATTTCCAATGGAGGCATGTGCCTTGTGCGCGCATATTGGAAGCGACTTCCAGGCGCACCCACTAGGCATGGGTGTTAAGTCAAGGTGTTAAAACTGGAAAAATGTTTTGTTATACCGTTTCTAAGGTATATCTGGAAGTTTTATATTACATGTTTTTTAATGTTTGTGGTGTTTTTGAAGCTAATAAAGATAGTAGAAGTCAATTTTAATTATGTAGCCTGACATGTTTACTGTTTCAAAATATTTTAAGTGTTTCCTAAAATGTCATTTACTGTGTCAAATGGGGGAAAAAGTTGGTGTTTACTAACACATTTAAAAAGAAACTGTTTTACATGAAGTTAATTATGAAATGAATTATGAAATCATAATATGTTTATCCTAGGTTATTAAGCCGTCAGAATCATATACCGGCCCATATGTAGCACCCAACGTCTAAACGTCTTCAGAATGCTGCGAGCGCACCACGAGCCACGTGACAAGAACTGACTGATCAGCTTCATATTTTGTATGGAAAATACACATTTCGGTAGACTAATTACCTCAGACAAACACAGAACACCTAAACACTGCAGTGCTTATTCATTTTCTCCATGAATAAACCTTGTATCAGAGCTGCAGCAATGTTTTGTCAGCTTGTCTCTGAGAAAAGGGATGTACATCACTTAGCAACCCTCCCCCCAGGCCACGGTAAAATTGTCAAACGTTGACCAGTCCGCAGTGGTAAAAAGGTTGG